TTTAAAGAATGACGAAGTTCGTAAGGGAGGTGACGTCTCTGTCCCACTAGAAGAACAAAGCCCCGTATTGAAAAGTTCATTCCTGCCTGCCTGCTGTATGCATTGTGTTCAAGAAGAAAGTATCCTGTTCACCCGTGGAGAAAAACATCTTTGCGGTGTTTCATTCATGCAAATTACAGCTCCGTCCACGTCCGTTTCGTTATCCAAGGTCATCTACATTTTATTGACTAGCGACAGGAAGGAACATTGTACCTAAGGTAGGAACGAAATAAGGCCGAGGGGTGAGGCCGACAAACAGGAGAGGGGACGTCAGACATGCAGGACATCGATCCAAAATCCAAACAACAAGCACAGATGCCTCAAAATTATATCAAAAAGGCTCAGGGGAGCTCGTGTTAACCACGTCGAACCGGGTAACAGTACGAAAAACGAAAAATGAAAAAGCCTTCTGTCTTACTTTCGTGGCTCAGTATTACTCCATACATTGGAATACAGCAGAACCGATCAGATAAAATGCATCATTGGCCAGCTCCATCCAGACAGGTTGTAAGCGTTGATACGCTCGCGTCGAGCGTCAGATTGAAAGAATTGGCAAATGCCATCTATCGCTGTTCTATCACGAATCTAATTCACACGTTGATACGCTCGCGTCGAGCGTCAGACTCAAAGAACTGGCAAATGCCATCTATCGATATTCTATCACGAATCTAATTCACCCCCCCCCCTCGACACAACTCTAAACTGTTTTCTTTAAATGCATGTTTTTATATAATAATTCTATTTCTTTCAGATCCATTTTAATATTATATTGCCTTCTCCAACTAGGTCTTCCAGGTGATTCATGTAACCCACATGAGAAGCCTACTCCATTTATGTGAGTGAATGTTCAATGCATTCAATTTCTTTCTGTTATGCAGTTCCACGAAACTTCCATCTACCTTTCCTTTTCCCTTCATCTTATGCCTTTATTTCTGAACTTACAATGTTTCAACAAAGGCTGTATACAACGAAGCCAGCAACTGGATCTTTGTTAGTTAACACAGGAAATACATAGTGGTAGCCATTATATTTCCATAGCAACCATTTGAAAAAAAAGACCATCACGAGAGAATTTAATAGGCTGTGTGGGATTGAACAATATAAAAAAATTGAACACACTGAACATTTATCCTTAAGATACAAATTTTGAAGCAGGTTATACAGTTAAATGTTCGGCGTACTCTCCTATCTTAAGGAAAATGGGTAGGTTGGGGTTTATGAGATCACCACGCGCTGTGTATGTTCTACTTTGAAGTCAGATGATCATCCCATCGAGTTGGGACGACCCACAAATTCACCGCATGGCTATGCTGTCTAGAAAATTAACTTAAATGCTATACAATTTTCAAACTGAAAAATGAAGAGGTTATTACCACATGTTATAAAACACACCGTCAGAAAGTAATGTTGACTGTTAATTTTTTTTTCATCGTCTATGGTCAGCTTGACCGTCGTAACCCCTTTTTGGGGTTTTCTTGCAAAGGTACCACGGTGGTTTCGCCTTGCCTTCCGTGGCCAGTCTTTATCCACCAGACTGGAAGAGGAGACGCGGACAAACATCCATGCCTTGAGTGGGACTCGAACCCACGATCGCAGTATCCAGGCGCACGAGGTCCATGCCTCAGACCGCGTGGCCACTGCGCCGGCACTTTAAATATTCCTGCTATACAAATGTATTAATGATCTTTATTAAATATAAATTACTTTCCAATCACCAAACCACCAATTCAGGATTTTACCAACATATCAATAAGCAAATGGTCACCATTCCCACACAAAGGGTATGCCAGCTACAAATTCTAGAACAACATAATAATTGGGTTTTCACATTTTCATGGCACTGAAAATGAGGACTGTGGTCTGCTGGATTGTGAAAATCTGTTCTTGTAAGTGGTTACAAATGTTTAGGAAGAAATGGAAAATGAATGTGATTCAATTTATGTAAAGCTGTGTAAAATGTGAGGTCCCATACCTTGCTCACTTGTCCTGTCAATAGACCCACCAAGAAGGAAGAATAAAAAACTAAACTACGCTAAGATTAGGAGAACTGTTATAATATGTAAGACCTAAGTAAAATGAAAATGTAATGTAGGATACTACTAAAAATAATTCAAAGGAATCTATATATGATACTTCAATGATACTTATACATCTGATTTAATTCAATTTACACAGGCTTAAAATATTATTAGCAAAATATACCTTTCACTGTTTATTCAATTTTATTAATTCATCTTTATTTGTTCATTTATTTAGTTACAGTTTATAATTAACACAGAAAATTGTATATTTTGCAGGTTTACTGGTAAGTTATTGTATTTATTTGAAATTAATGAAACATAATATTTTTACTGTTAAAATTCACTTCAGTACTTCAGCAGTTTGGCATTCAAGAACATGTTCAATACAACTTACGCAGGACAACAACATTAATTTCAAGATCAATGCCATTTCTGAAGCAGCTACGCAGACTTTACTGAGATGCTACTTTAGGTGTTACTGTTTAATCTGGTCAGACAGGGTACAATATTAAGAAAACTGTTCTTCACAGAGCAATTACATACAGGATAAACACGACACATACTGTTCTGAGACAGTTTATAAAAACTGGAACCGAACACTTGTATCGGTGCCATGACTGGATCATATAATCACTGAAGTACACATCCAGCTTACGTGAGCCACGAGAAAAGATGCTGAAAGTGTTTTATTTTTCATCAGTTAATATTACGGATATTTTTATTACTGTATTGTTAAATTTCACAGTATATATCTAGTCTATCTATCTTTTTATATATCTCAAGACGTCATATATAAGGCAATCTGCTTGTAAGTTTCTAGTTAATTAGAGTTACTGTTTGTTATTTCTACTGCTACTTTTAATAAATAATTAATCAGTGTTTTCATTATTAACATTATCTTAAAGTTGTATTATTATTATTATTACTATCCCATTTATTCACCACTTTATAGGGTATTTACTTCCATGTACCCAAGACAGACCTTGACCCTAAGGTACATAGTGCAGTAGCTATTTATGAAATACATTTTGTTTATAATTATCATCGTAATAAACATTATTACCATTGTTATTATTATTATTATTATTATTATTTATTTACTAATAATAAATAATAAAGAATTGAATTCCATGTATTCATCATTTTACAGGGTATTTACTACCATGTACCTGAGACAAACCTTGCTTCTGAGGTACATAGTGAAGCAGCTATTTCTGAAATATATTTGGTTTTTAATACGTGTTACATGCATTAAACACATTTCACGTAAGGCATTATATATTTTACATGAGCATCTTTCGAATTATTATTAATTATTATTATTGCAACAGTAAATTTCAAATTAATTATAACAAGATAATTACATTTTTACTGTTCATATTACAATTTTATTTACTAAAATTATTATTTTATTTTCATTTACTTCCTCACCATTGGGGATAGGACTTTTATTTACATATGAAAAGTTTAATAACTCATATAATATTTAAAAAATAAGTTAAAATAATAGAACAGATCTTAAGTTGCAGTCCAATAATAACATAAGTCAGAGCTGGTATCTTTCCAAAACTTTTGTTTATTTTGGTTTTTTAAGTTCTGACTGGAATTCTTTATCTCAGTAAAGTAAAAACCAAAGCTATATCAGCAAAGGGTTAAGAGCAAACTGCAGATACAAAAGGCAAAACTAAATTACTGTGACAAAGACTGAAGTAAGTTGAGCATTGTTTCTAAAGGGAACATACTAAACGCAGTAAGAAAATATACCCATTACCATAATAGATCTATGTGGAATCAGTATCACAAAACATTTATTCCAAATTTACTGTTAAACCACATTTAAAAATAAAATTATATAGGTTAAAGTAAATTAATTTCATTAATATTTCATAATTCCCTAAATTTACTCAATTATCTACTTAATTTTTGTGTGCAAAACAATAACACTCAGTTACCTTTAGTTACCTACTTAAATAACTAAAATTTCTTGACCAATCCATGAAACAAATTACACTACACAATCGGAAAAAAATTAATAAAATTAATTTCCTTTACTGACTGCTATACAGTGTTTCTACAGAAATATTTTGAAAAAAAAAAAGTGAAAGAAAGATATGAAGAAAGCAGGGTACTGAGAGTGAAAGAAATTTCCTGCCATCTCTTGAGTACTTATGCTCATTTGTTTTCTAAATTAAACTCAGCATGTAAGAGTTAATTTGTTCTTTTTCAGAACGTGTACAATAACCTTTCTATATGGTGCAGTTACCAGTATTCTGAACCACCACCAAACAAGAGGACAAGGATCAAGAACTCCCTTTCGACAGCTTGACTTGTGATCTCCTACAGGATACATGTTTCAGCAGCAGCAGTGGAGAAGTTAAGACTACAAAGCTGTGTCGCACAGGAAAGTGGCAAGAAAATTTCAAAAGTCCTTCAATAAAATTCAGTAACTGGCTGTTCCGGTAAAGGTTTCCACTGTTCTACATTTATCTTAGGTGAGTCGTTGTCTACATCTGTCTCATTCACAATAACATTATAAGTGTGAACAGTTTCACAAATCTCTACAGATGCTGAATTGATCATATAAGTAGTATTTAAGAAATGTTGGGGGTGACGGCTACACTTCTGAAGTCAACAATTTAGTGGTATGATAGTGTGATGTGCAACCAGATGAACTGTGTGTATGATAAAAATTGATAAAAGTTAAAGAAACAAATAATTTCTTGGACACTTGTTACATTCCACGTACATCTAAAATGGCTACTGTAACGGCTGGTTCAAGGGATAATAAATAAACAAAAAATAAATAAAACAGCTGGCAGGCATTTATTTAGAAATATGTATTAACAAGTATCAGCCAAAATTTTTTTAGTTACATTTGCTGGCATACCCCTAATAAAAGGTTCAAATACGTGGTCTTACAAAAGGAAAAGATGTACTTACAACTTTGCTTGGTCTTCATCTGGTGGAGATGAATTGTGTTGTATGGCAACAATCTCTTTTCCTTTGTTAGTGGAATGTTTCCTTCTTCTGTTTTTTTTCACGCTTGTAGAATCTACTACACGCTGTCAACAAGGCAATGTGAAATTGAAATTATAAACTGTTCTTCTTCACACGATATTTGACTATGTAAGAGACAAAAATAACAGTGCCAATTTCTTCCTGTGCGTTACAAGCATTTTCAGTAAAAATTACATACAGCCTCAAGGCAAATCTAAACTGCTTACTTACGTCATTCTTGCCATTTGCAGTAATGCCGAAGCCACTATCCGCTACCCAGTCCTTCTTTTTACGAGGAGACAATGGTGGTATCTTGTGCCTAACACCTGAATTGACACCTACAGGCAGTGGAGACATCCCTCTTGGCATGGGTAATATTGCACTGGGTGTTGGAGATGTCCCCCTGTGAGCAGGTGAAACTCTCCTCGCAGGTGATACTCCTCTATGTGGACTACCTAAGGGAATAGAAAGTAACAACCATCATTATGATTGCTTCAGTGTCTACTCACTGGAGAAATTTAACTTTGTGAAACAAGAATATGGGATTTAAAATTCCATCTGCCAGCCAGACTTACACTCTGGTGTTTAACGACTTAGCAGTATGCTACTTTGTTGCATGGTCAGTTCACCTGTGCGTATGTCATGGTGCATGACAGATAAAGGTTAAAAATCAACAACAATAAACAGGAATGACATTCATAATAATTATTTTTCTTCCAAGGCAATTATTGCCTTGGAAGAAAAATAATTTCAGAAAATTAATGTTGTTATTAAATTCAAAAACTGTTATTATCCAGTTTATTTTCCAAAACATTAAAGAACAAGACATAAAAATCAATAATTTTGCCAGTTATCTGTGTCATTATAAGATGTAATCTGTAGGAAGAACATAAACTGCAAGTGCCTAAGAACAGTGTGATCTGAAAAATATATGGACTAAAATATTTATGATGTTACATAACATGAAAGTAATGAATAAACTTACACAAACATAACCGTACCAGATTTATCAAGGCTACTAATTTTCCATTGACAGTATTATCCTCCATGTACGTGTCCAATGTCTGGATAAAAAAAATGCATGATTCTTTGGAGGCAAGTTCTGTGTCTTAGTTTGTTTTCAGAAAGATACCTACTCCGTAGGACCCCTCAGACAGAGCAATCCCTCATCATTAAGTGTAGGAACACAACAAAAATTTGTAAAATGAGCCCATCCACAATAAACTATAATAAAAATCTTCAGAACCAAAATATTCATTTTAGTTAAAAACTCAACTAAGTCCGTATGCTATAAATTGTGGCCACTTGCAATATTCCTTGTATGAACTGACAATTTTATGTCATGAATTAAATTAGAAAAATATTTATTTACAGTTTTCTTTCATGATATTTTTATGTTATAGACCATGCTAAATGGCACTCACCAAAGTTCTAAACCCACTGTTTTGTTATAAACAAAATTATTATTTTTGATCTATCCACCAATTTAGGTTTCTCAAATATGGTGTTTTGGAAACTGAAGCGTGCGTGTGCATATGTGTGTACGCATATGCACACGCACCACTGTTCTGGTTTGTTAGTGTTGGATTTCTCATAACAGAATTGCCAGTATTCTTGGATATTTACAGAAACATCTCAATGTATAAGATAAATAGATTGGCTTTTCAACTATGAAAGTTAGTAACTCCATTTATCACAATGATCAACAGAGGAAACACGCACATCAGTTAGTGCAAATATTTGTGTGTTTGAATACATTTAAGTATTAACTGGTTCATGATATTACCATCATGAGGGCTCGTAGTATTTAATGGCTCTAGAATCCTTCTGCCTCTCTTTGATGAAGTATTTGGGATCTGGGGGGAGTGGCATCCAGAAGATGGTGGAGGCCATGTCTGACTGAGCTTCTCACGACCTACTCCCTGACTACCTCGACTTGAAACAGTCGACTCCGACAGCCTGTTTGGGAGTAGAGAGAAACCTGCAAAATTCAAACTCGGTCAGAACACACTTACTAGTGGCCAGACATATTAAAACAAAAACTGCAAATTAACTGTAGCAGAATCTTATTTGGGTCCACGACGATCATCACTATATGTTGTTCCTTTTTATGTTTCATTTATTGTTTTAATACATAAACTGAAAATGTGGTATGCCAAAAACTTGTATTTTTTATTAAATATGTAAATAAATTTATGAAACTTCTGTGCTATAACCTGCGCTTATTTAATGTACAAAAGCAGTGTTTAGTCTTTTTTTATATTTGTAAATAAAAAGTAGGTAATATGCAATAAAGTTGAATTACTGCCACATGCCAAATTCATAACATTAAATTAAATTAACAATTATTACACAACTAAAACAAATGGTTAAAACTACTTACTTCCTTTCTCTACAGAGTCATTGTTTAAGTTATCAATATCTGGCGGTGACTGGAATCGCAAATATAAAGGACGGAATGTACCTGGAACAAAAGTATGGTGATATACATAATTGTATATTCTAAACCAGTGGTATTCAACCTTTTTTGTTTGCGTACCCCCAGACATAATTTCTCTTCAACTTTGTACCCCCAAAGTTGTTGGTGTATAATTCAAGTTATACATAGTATATAATCTACATCTAAAATGAATTAAGTAAATTACATTACTGATTATTCAGTGTTTATCATAAAATAATTGTTTTTTAAATTTCACGTACCCCTTAAGATGTCTTCGCGTACCCCAGGTTGAATACCACTGCTATAAAGTATCTCATATCATAATTAATCCATGTTTGAAGTTTATTAAGTTGCACATTATAATACTTGAACTTTTTATAGAATGCAATAATCCAAACAACTAGTCTTTTTGGAAACAGTGACGGAAGTCCATGCTTCTACATTCTTGTCATACACCTTAAACTCAGTATGAATTCAGAGGCTAACATTTCTGTCAAACTCGCTGTAGAAACAAGATTAAAGGACATTTTAACACACCACTAACTTCTGTTCCATGGAGTTAACTTATAATTAGTTTTCATGAACATATGAAAACGAGATGGTTGTAGCACATCTGGACAAAGGTCGATTATAAATTTTGAACTCTTGTCTGGCAGGTATTACTAAATAAAGATGTTAAAAAAAACCTGTATAATTGTGCTGAATTTTCCCAAAGATTGTCTATTAAAGTATTCACAATACCGTAATCTCAGAATATTTTTTCATTAAGAAATGTCTGCAACAATTCTTTAGATTCTCCATGAATATTGCATTTATCCTATAACTTACCTTGTGAAGATGAAATGCCATTCTGACTAGCATCCAAGTCGCTTGTCCATGATGACACGCCAAACCTAGGCCTCTGTTCGTCCTGTAACAAGTGCAACGTTATAAAATCCTATTCAAATATCAGTTTTGCGGAAACTTAACGTGATTACACGTTTTGAGTGGAATTTCATTTTTGTGTATTAGAAGCAAGGGTGGGAATATGTTTTCAGAACTGCGTATATGCTCCAGTTCAATTTGGCTACTTTTCAGATCATCAGAAAAGCACAGAGAATGACAAATACATATTATAAATTAAATTCTTACAATGCAGTTTCGGAAATTCGTTTCTTGAACAATATTTAAGATGTCTTCAGACGTGGAAACACCTTCGTTAAAGGAAGCGCCCTGGACTTTGAAGAAGGCTGTCTTCTGGGATTTTACGTAGACAGCTCATTGTCTACTAGACCACACTGTGTAACATCACGTGTTCATACGTAAGAACCTGAAATCTCACGCTGTTGCATTCGTTTCATTGCCAGTGTTATCAATCCTGCCTTGTGCATGTTCTAAATATAACCAATGGTACTCTGGCAAAACGGAACATTTTTACTGCCACCTACCGTATCGATTAAAAAGTTTTACCATGTCGTGAAACAGTAAATCGATTTATTCGTTGTTAATGCAACGCCAATCTTCATCCTACAGTTTACATGCAGACTTGTCTCCTCTGACGCCGTATAAGCCGTATTTTACGGATAATAAAATAAGCATATAATAAACAGAGGACACGGATTAGAGTTATTTGGCCATGGGAGAGGGGATAATTCTGTCTTTCGTCAAAAGACTGGCAACCACAAGTCTACTGTTGTAAAGCTAATCATTTTACACATATCACTGTGTACTTTAAAATATTTTACCTTGTATTTCGTTACGTAGGCCTATAACGCCGCACGAATACAGTTTCAAATAGAAGTTATACATCTTAATATATATTTTTGATACAAAATATTTCGATAAATGTATAAACGTTTACGTGAGCTTCAAGTATGAAGAACGGAGCCTACGTTGAAAGTATAAGAAACACCATGAAGCAGAGTCCTTCTTGATAAGCTAATAACTTTTAAACTTAATTAACTTTAAGTATAGAATACACATGATAGCAGTAAACTGTAAACAGTACATAACTGATACGAATTGATCATTAAAAAATAAAATGTTGACAGTGTGACGCTACTACTCTACAGCCCATGGTGAAATGCACTTTTCTATTGAACTTATCCTAAGTGCTACAACTTATGCACTGTTGACTGTGGGATACTCAGTTAAAGTGACTTCTCTAGACTCCTTTGAAATGTTTACCAACACAAGTCAGTCCCGTCGCAAATCTCATTTCTTTCGCCTGTTACCAAAAACGTATATGTACGAGGAGTCTAGCAGAGTTCGTGTGAGCATTTATCTGGTGCCGATGTTGGCCTTCTGGCTTATAATGCCGTGTGACCTCAGCCCTAAAGATGGAAACAGCGTATTTATCTAAAACGTTGCTATATACCTACAAATCCACATGGAGTTACATCGAAGAAGAACAACACTGGCATTATCATCGTTGGAGAACCTCAGATCTGATATTTATCTGCTGCTTTTCCCAGTTCACAATGGGCTAAATCAACAGGATATTTCACCACTTTCAGTCAGCAAGTCATCAGTAACTTTCAACTCCGATATGTCCACATAGTCCATCATTCGCCTTCTATTCACTCATTAAATCATTAATAACTCACGTATTAAGTATCTAGTGACTCACTTCTACATCTACATTTTTTCTTACTCAGTCATTCATTCATTCACTCAGTTAATTGCCCATAATTTACTAACCCACGCACCAAGAAATCAACATCAACTCGTCAATCACCAACGAATTAACTCAATAACTCTTCGACGTTCGCCTTACGGGCAAATAACGCCGTGTTGGAATTCAGGTAGATACCAAAGTAACGTAGGCACATACCGCCTTCATCTTCAGTATGCTCCTCCGAAACAATGGTGTCTACCTGCTGGTCCACACGGCGTTACCATCCGAAGACCAACATCGGCATCTTCACAGCAGCGACGGCCTCAAATCTAAACATCAACTTAACCACATAAGAGATTTCCGTATTACAACATTGGATAATAAACCCTGGGCACTGAAATTATCACCGACATTTAGAATGAACTTACCCGAAAAGTTGTGTATATGAATGGCCGATAGCCGACAATGCGGCACAGAAGCATTGTTGTCCAAGTCTGCGCTATATGACACACGTCCTGTTGTCCACTGCGACAATGCTGATCAATACAACGAAGGACGACGCAACACAACGAAATGACAACTCTTTTACTTGGTCAAGGTGCCTCATAAAACATCTAGATGATGTTGATGAACAAAATGAATCGATACGACCTCCAAAGCACGCGCCAGACCAAAGCTGTTTACTTCTTCACATTTTCGACATAAATTCTTTAAATCTTTTTATCACATCGCCTACGTCAGAAATTCAAACTCTTATTCAGTTTTAAACGCGAACAATCAGCAGGATTCCTCTCTCCCCACCTCAGCTGAAACGTAGCTTCCCTACCAGCGACTTACTGAAAGATGTTCCAACTAAAATGCCATCGGACACCGTCAATCCTGTCAGACAGTGCGCAGCGCAAGGGCTGTTATTACTGCATATATAGATTGCCCCTTCCATTCCAGAGGTCTTCAGATCGATACTCTGTCCTTCCCCGTACCAATACCGTCCGACTTGACCTTCGCCAGTTCTTTGTTAAGGTCAAAGATTAAAGTAAAAGTACGTGATATGCAAAACAGAAATATTAACGCCCACACTTAAATATGTCTACCAGTAATATTATAATGAAGATTTCATACATTTCTCCGGCGATAACCGACCGATTCGTTGCTACGATTTTAAATAACAAGTCGTCGCGGTTAATAATCACGTACACATTTTTTTAACTGGCTGGTTCCGGAAACTAAACCGCAGATGGGAATATAATACGAGGGTAGTTTAAAACATATTTTAAACAACGGTGTGGAAAGAAATAAAAAAAAATAAGTTTACAACTCGCATAGTCGCCATGCTGTTATTTATCACGAAAATCTCAAAAGTTGTAATATTGCTTGGGATGCATGTTAGTACAACATGAAACAGCAAGTCCTTTAAAGGGAAATCTCAGCCAGACAACATTTAATTCTTCAATTTATCCCCGTTAAAAAATTTAGCGTCGTAATTATTAAGGTTTCCAGAATTATTCTCAGAAACAAATTAAAACCATAAAGCGGCCATGTTGGTAACAGGAAGAGGTACTGCAGGTTAAATCATGTGGTACACATAATTACCACTACTGAAGACTTTCAACTTGATAAATCTATGAATATAAAATTATGGTACCAGACTTTATATTGGGTAAACACAGGCACACTCACACACAAACAACGTGGACAGCATTACAGAAGTGTTTCACGTTTCTGGAAGAAGTCTTTTGAGGTTATGAGCACGTTTCTATAAAATTTAGAGTCTAAATGGTTAAATGTGTTGTTAAAGTACAAAAGCTGAGTTAGTTCACAAGAATACTCTGTACTTACAACTATTAAGAACCTTTTCATTGCTTTCAGTCTTGGCAACTGCGGGAAGCCAATATTGACCTAAAAGATAACACATAATAGATTCGATTGTAAGGAAGTGCGTTAGTTAACAAACTGAGAAGACCATTCATAATTACAGCAGAGCACATGTAACCCTTTAAAACCCAGCGTTAACTACATGTGCCACACACTTTAACATTAAACAATTCTGCATTTTTCCCACACAGAGTATTTATGGGTCCCATATAATTTTCAGAATAAACAGTGATTATTTCCTTAAACATTGCTAATAAATTTACCTTTGAAATGAAGACGCTAAGAACTATATTTTTAAACTCCGTCTTTTCCAGGCATACTATTAGAAATACATGTACTTGCCGTCAGATGGTGCTGACATTCGCATGAAGTCAAAGAGACATCCACAGATGTCAGTGTTCAATATTGACGTAAACCTTTTGTGGCGTCTTCCTAACTTTCATAGATCGTTACTCAAGTGGCACTAGACTTTGATTCTTTTATTACTGGGCTGTTTCTCCTACTAATTTAATTTTATTACCAAACTATGCACACAAAGCTGATAATAAATCGTGAACTCAACATACGATCCTACCCGAATCAATATAGCGATTAGGCACAAGCTGTGAACCAGCCTTCACTAAAAAGGCGTGCCTAATAATAACGAGCAAGTTCAAGATAATACCGTTTGGTAGGCAAAAAAGGTGATATTTTGGGCACCTTTTGTGGCGTCTTCCTAACTTTCACAGATCGTTACTTAAGAGGCACTAGATTTTGATTCTTTTATTACTGGGCTATTTCTCCTACTAATTTAATTTTATTACCAAACTATGCACACAAAGCTGATAATAAATCGTGAACTCAACATACGATCCTACCCGAATCAATATAGCGATTAGGCACAAGCTGTGAACCAGCCTTCACTAAAAAGGCGTAATAACGACCAAGTTCAAGATAATATCGTTTGGTAGGCAAAAAAGATGATATTTTGGGTGGACAAGGAACCAAACTAAATTCGAAGATATGATCTGTGTAAATCTCCAAAAGTCAAAATCATTCTAAATACAATGCAAACACACAAAAAAACGATAAATAATTTACACCTGTTCGAAATGACGCCTTATTGGAAGTACCTAATAGAGTAATAACACATTCCTGAACACACCTGCGACTTTTCGGGGTCGATGGGCGCCAACTGCTGCGCTCCGACCCCTGAGGCCACAACCTCTTTCCTGTCAGTCCAAGGATTCCCTTTCTTGACTGGCGCTACTGAGGAGTTGTCTCCCTTCGGGCTCAGGGTTGCCCGAGGATCTAATCTCTGCGCTGCGATCAGCTGACCGCGTGAACGGGCCGAACCGGAAGAAACAGAACCTGATCCGGCCAGCACCCATTCAACATCCGAGCCTGAAAATGCACCGGTTGAAAAAAGCATCGTGTAAAACCGTAGTACCAACTTCACCGAGCTAATTCCAGAATATAACCGTCAAACAGATCACAACTGACTGTTCGATTTGAATTCGTATATGTTGACATGTGACACTCAACTGGGTTCACTTTACTTTGTTTGGGTGCCAAAACTGTCTAACTGAACTCAAATAGTTTCCAAAGCTGAAGTGCAACCCACGGAGGCCACCATTTAAGGCACAGTTTAAACCGACAAGAAAACTGCTAATTTTTATCTTACATTATTTTCTTACAAATTAAGACCAATTACATCATTAAGCTGTCTGTATGCCTGTCTGTGGCCCTCTTTAAATTGTTTAACCAAGAGAGAGTTTTTCACGAAATCTCGTATGAACGTAGTTCCAATGAATGCCTTTCCATTATCGCGTTATTGAATTTCGTAAATTGTTAATAATATGGCAGACGTTGGCTGAATTCAAGTTGCACAGGAAAGAGTCAAATTGTGGGACTTCGTGTATACGATAATGAAATTCAAGAGTACCATCTCCAACACCTGCAATCTGTGTTCCTCCCTCTGAGTGAGGGACCATGTTTCGCACCCATACAAAACAACAGGCAATATTATTGTTTTGTATACTTTAATTTTCAGGTTCTTAGAAATCAGACGGGAAGACAAAATATTTTGGACTGAGAAGTAGCAAGCATTTCCGGAATTTAGTCTCCTCCTAACTTCCTCACAAGTATCATTTTGATTTGTTATTGTTGTTCCCAAATATTTGAACTTTGTAACCCTTTCAAAGGATTTATTAGCCACCCTAAGATAAGAGTACCATAATACAAGGTAAATAAATACTGACCATCCGAATAACTGCAGTGGATTTTGTAGGCAGCGCATCCGTGAAGAGATCTTACGCGTTAAGGGTCGGCTAGAGTTGCCGGCAGGAGTTTTCGTCTCCCCTGCCAGAGTACGCGGTCACAAAGCAACTCGCCTAATCAAGACTGACCTTGACCCGTGGGGTTAGTTTCTTAACCCCTAAAGGCCCAGTTGTAACTGTATGCACCACATATAAATTAATAAATCTGCATTCTGTATAAGTTTCGTATGATTCTCACTGTAAATAGGGATTCTTCACACAGCATTATTATTTGATCTCTACGATGGTAATGAGTGTTTTCTTTGCGGTACGGACTATGTTCTTAAGTATTGTTTAGAGCTTCGGCTTCAAAAAGGTTAACTTACGTATCCGGGCGGGTGGCAGCTGATGGTGTCGCCTGATACAAACAGTGGTCATTGCGTGTGAAAACACAATTTTCGATCTGAATACTAATGCGTTCAAAGAGTCGAGAGACTTGTAACATAATACAAGAGAAGATACAAATTCGTTCTCCGTCACTTGTAAGAATACGAAGCTGTACTGAAGCGCTGTACCACGATACTGGAGGCGCTACGTCTACCGCTGGCGTTCACCATCTCCCAAGGCTTGGACGAGAGCCAGTAGCAGCCTAAAGCTGCTGCTATACTAGGCGCGTGTTTGAGACGCACCAGGGGTTGCCAATCCAGGGCAGTCCGGACCGTGATCGGTACATATTCTTTACTGATCCTGCTGGAACGAAGAAACGAGAGGAGCGGGTTTGAACTCTTCTAGGGGAATGGATATTTATCTGTGGCTTTCTGTAGGCCTGTACGCAGGACGGATTTCCCATATCCGAGTCCTATTATCTACCTCGATTACGACACAACACCTCCTATGATCATAGACAATATTCTCAATTTCCGCTTTGAAATACGAAGTCCAGAAAACGAAGTGTCCCCGTTAAAAAAAACACTTAATTAAGAAAATAATAGCTGTTTCTTCTGAGAATCATACGAAACCCATAAGTATGCATTGTGGGTAAGAAAAACCCAGGGGTATTTGAATGTTAAAGTGATATATATATAGTTATGATTGTTCTTTAAACAGTAAACAAGATCGAATACATGTTTAGTAGTCCCTTGACATACGCGATAGAGGTGTTCTTACGCGTGGGTGCGCAAGTCTAAAGCACTTAAGATAATGCTGCAGTCTCGAACGTTCATGGAAAACAGCTATTAGGAAATGCAGTTTAGGGGAACTGCGACCAATGCTAACACTCATCATGTCATTACAGCCCTGCTCCCACCAAGCTCGATCTCTTGGTGTAGACGTTCCTATAAATTCCGTGTGTACGCATCTGACAAAGAATTACAAGACAGCAGGTACCTATCGGAGTGCCAGAGAAGCCTCCCTTCCGGGCTGACGGTATCTGCGGAACGTACAAGATAAGTCCGTCGGGCGAGGTCGTAGGCAGTTGACGTCGTGCAAGGCGAGCCTGGACGCCCGCCAGGTACGCTGTTCTTATCAACAAATTAGGCTGCCTGTCCGCGACGACCTTGACAGCCTCATCCAGCAGGCTCGGAGTGGCGAACTGCGCGATCACCGACAAAGCATCTAGCGCTGCCTGTCTGACCCGACGCCTCGGATCGGCCACAGCTGCAGCCACTGGACCCGCCATCTGATCCCAGTGGAACTCCGTGCTGGGGAACGTCAGAGTGGCGTATATGAGGAACAACAATGAGTTCTCACGCATCTGAAACAAACAAAATGCTGTATTCACATTTTACTCAGCACAACATATGCGTGTTATTGTAACTTAATGTACAGGGTGTTCACAGATAGGAGATCGTAGGAAATATATGTCTTCTCTTTGTCACAGTTGGGACTCACGGCACTCAGTAAAGACAAACGTGTGTATTGGTCACCACGAGCTCTTGACTTCACATCTCTCGGCTTTTACCTATGGGCCACGTCAGAACCCGAATGTACGCTGAACAAATTCACAATTCCATCAGCAGCGACATCATGCAAAAAGTTACTGACGTCGTTATCTTTAAACCGAAAAAAAACTTGTTGACAGTTTGCACAGGTGTGAACGGTGGACATACTAAGCACGTTTTGTATCAGCTGTGTCAGACTCCAAGATTACTACAGTTCCTAACGTATGGGACACGAGCAGCGGTAATGTTCAGGCATTATCAGGCAAATAAAATTACTGCTAAATAATAAAAAAATATAAACTCTTTATTTTCCACACTTTTCCTTCCTTCCTCCAAACAGTATAAGGTATGAGGAGATAAAGCAATGTAGGAAATTTGGTATTTCGAAGCCTTGCACTACATTACGCCACAAATGGTAAATAAAAGATACGAAATTTGCCAAAGCACCTACAACACTGTGGCGTCATAACTCAGAAAACCAGTCTTCATCACTATAAAAGCCTAATCTTAAACAGAGACTGTGTGTGACATCACATATTTTCGACTTTAGAACGGAATTTAACAAGACAAAAACTTAAGACGTTGTCTCTCACGTAATAATAACTTTCGTGTCAGTTAAGAAGTCTATGTATTAACGTTACTTAAGCAAATAATTCCCGTTAACATTGAGAATTATATAACGTTACTTAAGCAAATAATTCCCGTTTACACTGAGAATTATACGAAATACATAAATAAAAACTGGAAACTGGGACAAAATTTACCACTACACTTTAAAAGGTTAACCGCTACTTAGCAGTTTATTACCTTAGAACTCTTTGCCCCGATGCAGTCCGAGGAAAGCAGAACTTCGACGACCGAGTTGGGTTTCATAATCTGCATGAGCGCTTTGGCCGCCTGCACAGTCTCGATCTTGAGGTTCACACAGCCGGAACCACCGATGTGTCCGGCCAGGCCGACGACGATCTGGGGTAGGTGGTCTTGCAGCACCGCGTGGGGCAGTGAGGTGATGAGGCCGCGCATTGCACCGATAGAGGACGTGGCTACGCGATAGCTGCGGTCCTCAGCCATGGTCACCATCAGGCAGTGTAGGAGGGACGGCATGCTTGGAAGAACTGTCTGCAGTACTTCTGGGTCTCTCAAGGCTGTCGACAGGCTTTCGATGCCGTGAATCCGAGACACCCATTCTTCCTGCAGCAGAGCACAAGGGTCAGAGAACATCTTCAGTACAAATCCGAGTAGCAGTAGCAGAGTATCGAGATGGATGCTAATAATAATCAAGAATAATTATTAATATACGTTAGTCCTATATTCCTCGTTTACGGTAAAATACCAAGTTTGACACTCATATAAAACGTCAGGTATAATTATAGGCCTGGGTACTTCAAACTGAAGTTTTTACGTAAGGAACAGAAATACAAACCGATTGAACTGCACGGTAGTTAACATTTCCAGAATTTAATCTCGTATTAAGATCCATGTGTTGTAATTTTAAATGATTTATAATGCTTTAATTAACTCGTAGTTGTATTAAATAAAACACAAGACAAAGAGCATGTCGGGCTATCGACCCGCTTAACTGGTGTGTCAGAGAAGTTGCCGAAGCAATACGGGGTTGTCGCAGAATCGACAAGAATTTATATTAAAATTATCGAAAGCGCTCGTTCTTGGAGCCACACGTGACAACAGGGCAATTATGGTTACACGTGTATGACAGTGAAATGAAAACTCACAAACTAAGTATGGGCACGGTGTGGTATGAACAGGTAATACAACAGACAATTATTCACCTATACGGAGTTTACTGCAGATTTCTTTAGAACATTCTAAGTAGATTTCTCATAGGCGTAACAAATTAAATTAGAATATTGTTCAATACTTTTCTCCTGAGCCATATAAGTCCATAAACGTATCTTCTATAATCTTTAAATATACAGTCGTATATTCGCACTGTTCAATGTTCTATTAGGCTCATACATCGCAGTGGCACCGCATTGTAA